AAATGTTAAGTCAGATGCCTTTCAGGCGACGGACATTTTCCTTCTCCCCCAGTCACGTGTTCTGGAGGCTCTGAGCATGTTCAGAGCCTTGGAGAGCCGGAGAAAGCTGGGCAGAAAGGAGGGGGTCCGGCCGTGCCCCTCCCTCTAGCCAGTTCTCACTGTGCCCGCCCGCCCTCCTCGCCTGCAGGTAGAGCCCTGAGATGGATGCTGGGACAAAGGAGAAAACATTCCAGAGGATTGAGCCAGTGGGAAGTAAATTAGTTACAGCTGCGACAGCAGACACTCTCCCGTACGCCTGATCCAGGAGGGGCCCCAGTAAGACCGGGGGGCCACCCGTCACACAGAGCGGACTCGCCCTGCCCCTCCCTGGGCCCCCCAGTCTTGCTGGCTATGGCTCAGGGCCTGGGCACACGTCCTGCCCCTGCCTCCCTCACTGCAGGCCTTGGCCTTGCGTCCCCTCACCTCCGAGATGAGCAGCAGTACGTCTCCAGGGACCCACTCAGCTTATGAATTGGATTCTGTACAGTTAAAAAGAAACACTGCCCCTTCCCCCAGAGGTAGAGAAGAGGTAGAGGGGAGGGGACTTCCATGGGAGGGACATTTGTTCAAGACGCCAAGTGATGTGGTTCTGCGGGAGGTGAGGCAGCGCTGGTCGCACCTCAGGCGTGGTTGTGCCCCCGGCCCTGCGGCGGATGCCCTGCTCCCGTTCCCTGCCTGCGCCTTCCGTGCGTCCTGCGTGTCTTAGCAGACCTAGTAGGAGGAGCCAGGACCACGACTTTGGAGTCAGATGGGGGTTAACAGTCCCTTTGCCACTTACCAGGTCTGTGACTTTGGATGAGTCAAGTTAGCTCTTCCGAACCTCAGTTTCTTTCTGTGTAATGTGGTGGTTCCTATCACAAAGGTGTAGGGGGAGTATTTTTCCAGGTGGATGTAAAGCCCCCAGCCCAGTGCTGGGACGTAGTTAGGACCCAGCATTGCTGGCTCGCATCTTTGTGAGCCTGGGACAGGTCCCATGTCACCTCCCCAGAAAAGCCCAGCAGAGGGTGCCCCAGGTATTCTTGTTATGCCCAGAGCTCAGTGACTCTGAGACCCACTTCTTGCCACCCTCTCCCCTTGAGCTCTCAAAAGCTGCCTCCTGGGCAGGTGGCTGTGGCCAAGAACACAGGCTCAGGAGCCAGCCACCAGGTGCACTTGCAGAGCTTTTTTCTTATCTGCAAAGTGGGGAGCAGTAGAAACACCTACCCCTGTCTCCACTTTCTCAGGGACTGGACCCAACCAAACCAGGCCCGGCCTAAAGACTTGTGTGTTGTAGATTTCACTTGGAGGTATGAGGCTATTTATTTATTTAGATAGAGTCTTGCTCTGTCACCCAGGCTAGAGTGCCATGGCATCAGTCTAGTTCACAGCAACCTCAAATACCTGGGCTCAAGCGATCCTCCTGCCTCAACCTCCCGAGTAGCTGGGACTACAGGCATGAAATTTTTCTATTTTTAGTAGAGACAGGGTCTTGCTCTTGCTCAGGCTGGTCTCAAACTCCTGACCTCAAGTGATCCTCCTACCTCAGCCTCCCAGAGTGCTAGGATTACAGACATGAGCCACCAGGCCCAGCCTGAGTTTCTTTAAAAGAAAATCTCTATTAACTGAAATGCTTAGGCCAATGGACTGTTTTACTTTATTAGCTTTCTAATTATTAACTCACGAAGAACTCAGAACAGGGCCTCGAATATGAGCTCTCAGTAAAGTTAGTGTGGTGGAAGGTAAAGTAGAAGGTCCCTTTTCCACCTGTGACCTTCTTGTGAAGAGGTTTCTGAAAGTCCCTTTCTCCCTGAATAAAGAGGGTGTGGTTTTCTTACCCTTTGAGGGTTTATAGTACTAGGTAGTTACCACACAAACTAACCCCACAGCACGGAGCTATGGCCAGTTCAGGAATTGGGAGGACCCTGGACTGCACCTGGGACATGCTCTGGCAACTGTTTGCTTTATTTTCTGTCATACCTTTGTTTTGTTTTGTTTCCATTCACCTCTCTCTGCTCAAAGCTGCGTGCAGCCGCCACTTCTGTCACTGGCGTCTCGCTGACAAAGGGCCTGTCTCCATCTGGATCTGGTTTTCCTGGTTGTCAGCCTTCAGCTTGGCATTTGTGTTGCCATAAAAGCTGGGAAGGTTTATGAGTAAATGTTGGGGTTCCAGTAGGATTTTCAGAAATGACTGGGGTGCTGCTCTCAGACGTTCACTCCCTCTTGGAGGTTCGAGGTTGGTTCAGATCAGTCCTCCCACTCAGGTGTCCTCATTAGGTATAACGCCTGGCAGGTGGCTGCCTCCGCTGCCTTCCCCATGAGCAGATGCTACATTTGTCCCAGGGTGGCTGCGGGAGCTGTGTGGTGACCTCTGGGTTTGGGGGTGACTCAGGAGCTGGCCTCAGACCGGGAGTGGTGCCCAGGCCTCCCTCGTGCCCAGCGAGGGGTGTGCCTGCAGTGTGGCTTTGGGCCTCTGTGGAGCTTAAGGCTGGCAGTGTTCTCTGTAGGACAGGTCATGTCGCTGTACACGGGCTGAGGGGAGGCCAGCAGTCACTGCAGTTTTGCTACAGAGGGGAGCCACCAGGTCATGGTTTGCATGGGCTGGCCTGAGTTCCTTAATACCAACCTCAATAGGAAAGGCCCAGAAAGCATCCTGGACACACACAGGAATTTCAGACACCTCAGAGGTGATTCCAGATTGGGGAAAAGGCAGTTCATTCAACAAATGGACAGCTCGCTGCCTGGAAAAAGATAGGCTGGATCCTGACTCTTAAACTTTACTTCAAAATCAATTCCAGGTGAATTAAAGATTTAATTGTAAAAAAGGAAACTAAAATTACAGGAAAAAACGTAGAAGAATTTTAAAAATAATCTTGAAGAGGGAAGATCTCTCTGAGCCTGACAAAATTGAGAAGCTCTATAAGAAAAATTGGGCACATTCAGGGATAAAAATTAAATTGCTACGTGAACAAAGGTAACATAAAAAGTCAAAAGATAAAGGACAAACCGGAAAAACAAATGTCCTGTTCATGTTACAGATAAAAGGTTAGTTTTCTTACATGGAAAGAATTCCTACACATCCATACAGAAAAGACCAGCAACTCCACTGAAAAGCACTTGAGCGTGAGCAGGTCCTTCCTGCCAGAGGCGCTCGGCCGCCCCACGTGTGGCAGCAGGGGCCCGCAAGCAGCCTCGGGGCTGAGTCTGGCTCCTCAGGTACTTTAGCCTGTGACCTCTGCAAGTGACCGGCACTCTCTGCGTCTCAGGTTCGCCAACTGTGTGGCGGAGATGACGGCAGTCCCCATTGCCAAACGGCACAGCGCGTGTCCAGTGCGTAGGGTGTGGAGGTGCCACGTAGATGCTTGATGATAAAGCGTGAAGACGCCAGCTTCTCCCCTGCGTGAGACAACCTCACTCTGATGAGAAATACGCAGCCTGCGGAACGTAGCGAGACCCCATCTCTACGAAAAATGGAAAAATTAGCCAGCTGTGGTGCCACACGCATGTAGCCTACTCAGGAGGCTGAGGCAGGAGGATCACTGGAGCCCAGGAGTTTGAGGCCACAGTGAGCTGTGATGATGCCACTGCACTCTACCCTGGGCAATAGCGAGACTCTGTCTCAAAAAAAAGTAAAATGTGCAGGTTGAAACTGCGGTCATAGACTGTTTCTCCGCAGTGCTGGGGACAGCGTGGGGCCTGGCACTGGCGTCACAGAGGGGGCAGGAACGCCGTCAGAACTGTAAATAAGTACCCCCTTTGAGGAAGCAGCCTAGAAGTGACGCGCACTCAGGGCTGGGTGTTCCTGCAGCACCGTTTGCAATGGCAGAGCTGGAGCCCGGTGTTGGGGACTGGTTAGATAAATTATAATGTGTCCCTAACCTAGATGATCCTGCAGCTTATACAGAGAGGCAGGCCTGCTGAGTATACTGAGCGATAAGAACACGGCATCCAGCAGTGTGGACAGGAACCACATTGGTGAGAAATGGGGTGTGCAGCATCTATGTGCCCAGCTGGACTCGGAGGGGCGTCCAGGAAGTGGCAGCAGTGGCCTCCGGGAGGGGTTCTGTGGCTGAAGGACGGGGCAAAACTTGTGGATTTTGTGTCATACGCCATACTGTGTGTTTCTAAGTTTACTCTGAAAATACCTGTCTCATTGGCATCTTAATTCCACTTTTTAAAAAAAGGAGGAAAAAAAAATACCTTTCTCGTGACTATGTGAGCAGTGAGAGACCCCTCACAGGTGCTAGGAGGGGGAGTGAGGAGAAGCTGCCTGGGTTCATATTCTTAGCTCCACCCTAGATATGGGACCTCAGGAAATTTCTGACCTCAGCGTGCCTCAGTTTTCTCATTTATAAAATGAGAATTAAAAGAGACCCTAACACGCAGGGTTGTGAGCACGAAGTGAGAGCTCTCCGGCACGCAGTAAGCAAGCACTCGGCGAACGCCAGCCGCCCGCCTCATCGTCCCTGTCAGGCTCAGCGCTGTGCGGCGGGGACTCCGTGCCCCTCCCCACCCTCGGCTGCTCCGGCAGGGCCAGAGGAGGGTGGCGAGCACTGCCCAAATTGCGCTTAGCTGTAAGCCACCTCTTCCCCAGGCCAGGGAGGCCTTTGTCCAACAGAATCTCCCCCTTGAGGCTTCTTTCCTCCTTGGGGTGAGGCCAGCTCTTTGGGGATCTGCCTCTGTCACTGGCTGCCCGCCCGAGGTGGTGGTGACCTCCTCGGAATGAGAAGGTCACATCAGGGAGGAAGCTCAGGAGTAACTGCCAACCAGCTCTGCTTGGCAGCGGTCGTGGCACCTGCTCCCCAGAGATGCAAGGAGCCTGGCTGTGCCGTGCCCCCGCTCCCTGGAGCCACCTGGCGGGAGTGGCAGTCGGGGCAGGTTTGTCTCTGCGCCCTCTGGTCGCTGTGGCGAAGGGGACGAATTCAGTGTGGGGCCCTGAAAGGCCTGCCTTTCTGCTCTCCTCATGTCCTGCCTTCTGCTCTCAGGGCTCTAACGTGATGGAAGAGCAGGACCTGCGGGAGATCGGCGTCAGCGACCCACAGCACCGGCGGAAGCTGCTGCAGGCCGCACGCTCCCTGCCCAAGGTGACCACTGGCAGCCTCGGCCCTTCCCCAGCACCGCTGGGACTGAGAACGGGGAAGGAGCTGGGCCCTGGCGGTGCTCGTCATGGCAGGGGTCTGCCCCTCACTCCGGGAACTCCGCAGAGCCAGCACTCACCCTGTTTGCTCCCTCGCTAACTCCTAAGGCCTCTGGAGGGTCAGCAGGGCATTTGGGCCAGTGAGCACCTTGTCAGGGCTCACAGGGGCAGTTCCAGGGCTCTGCCTGGCTCAGGAGCCTGGTGCTCACGGCCGGAGCGGGGGTCCGGGGGCCTTTCCTCACTCACTCAAACTCGGGCCAGCCCGTACTGCCCTCTGGCACCAGCCCTCCAGGAGGGACAACGGTCTTCCCTGGGGAGCAAGGAACTGGTGGGCCTGAGCCTCTCGCCCTCACCTGTGCTGGTGCTAGGCCTGGTGTCCCCTTGTCCCTTCACTTGCCCAGAGCTTGGGAAGCACCTGGGCTCACAGGCCCACACTAATTTCTTATCCCTGCAGGCCCATGACCTGGTGAGAGCACAGGGTGGAGGCATTCCGCAGACCCTGCTCCCCACCTGGCCTCACCTGCGAGGGCCATTGTCCCCAGACCAGGGCTGCTCCAGCAGCTCCACCCCCCACACGGGGGCTGAGGCAAAGCACTGCAAGGTGCTAGGGACCCCAGGCCTGCAGGCCTCCTGGGGTGGTGATCCCGTGGGTGCTGAGATATCAGTCCCACCCCCTCCTTGCCCCACAGGTGAAGGCTCTGGGCTATGATGGGAACAGCCCCCCTTCGGTGCCCTCCTGGCTGGACTCGCTGGGGCTGCAGGACTACGTCCATTCCTTCCTGTCCAGCGGCTACAGCTCCATCGACACTGTGAAGAACCTCTGGGAGCTGGAGCTCGTCAATGTGAGTCCTGCCCTGCTCGGCTTGGCCCAGCCCGTCCTTGGTCACGCTGCCCAACGGGGAGGTCCACGGGCTCGAGGGGGCTGGGCGCCCAGTCGGCCACCTGACTGCTCCCCTCCCCACCCCTCCCCTCCGCCCCGCACAGGTCCTCAAGGTCCATCTGCTGGGCCATCGCAAGCGCATCATCGCCTCCCTGGCAGACAGGCCGTACGAGGAGCCGCCCCAGAAGCCCCCGAGGTTTTCCCAGCTCAGGGTGAGTTGGGGAGGGACAAAACATTTGTTCTTTGTACCTTTAGCAATTGAATAGAACTGGCGAGCGTGACCGAGACAGCGTGACCTCTGTGGCATAGGGGAAAGTGGCCTCGCTCGTGTCTGGGGCCAAGTCCACCTCTAGGCCCAGGTCAAGACCGCAGCACAGGAGAGTTTTGTTGGCCCATTACCTGTAATTACATGCCACCGTTTACATTCCAAGAAGCTTGAGATGGACGCAGCTTAAGTAGAAACTAAAATGTGGGGAAGCAGGAAAACACAGGGATCCCAGGCTTAGCTAGGGCTGTGTCTGGTGTTAAGCTCAGCTCTGTACCTGGGGTGGAACTCGGCGGCAGGAGGGCGTAGTTTGAGGAGTTCCCCCTGCGGGCAGTCTGGCGTGAACCTGACTGCCCTTGGAACACATGGCGAGGACTCTGGCCTCTTGGGCCCCACCCCAAGTCTTCTGAACTAGAATTCCTCGGGCAGGCAGCTAAGAGAGCCTGCACAACACCTCACAGGCGCTGTGTTGCTCAAGCTAGGTAATCCCTGCCTGCAAAAATGGGTGAGAGCTCCCAGTGCAGGGAGAGCTGTCCCCTCTACCCCAGATGGTGGCAGCAAGAGCCACTGCTCCCCACAAGCCCTGGCGGCACTCCCGGCTCCTGCCCGCCTCGGCCCACTTAGTTCCCCACCAGCCGCACAAAGTACACACTGTTTTGTCCCTTTCCAGAGGGGAGCTGAGGCCCAGCCTTGTCCTGGGCACACACAGCTGACGTTCAAGTGTGGAAACTGAGGAGCCTGATTGTGTTCCCTATGAGACGGTGGCCTCAGGGTACCGACTGGCAGGACTAAGCTCTTTCTCAAGAAAGCATTTGGATTTGGTCCTGTGCAGAGGTCCGCGACAGATTGTGACAGATGATTTATCTTGATAAATGTAAAAGTGGCTCCCCTGCCCTATAACCATTCCTTTCTCCCTATGGCTCTAGGCCGGGCAGAGGGCACTAATAGAGGGGACGGAAATAGGGGACAGCTCCCCCATAGGATGGCTTCTCAGGGCTCGCTGGGCTCCAGGAGGGATCTGGCCGCTTCCACCGTCACCAGGCCAAGCCGGCTGCCTATGTTCCCCCAGCCTGACACCCCGTGCCATGGGCTCCTTACTCCTGGCCATTTCTGTCTCGCTGATGCTGGGACTGCTGACACCCGGCCGAGGGACTGGGCTCATGGGTTGCGGGTTCTACCTGGATTTCTGCCCTACAGTGCCAAGACTTGCTCTCGCAGACGTCGTCCCCCCTGAGCCAGAATGATTCCTGCACAGCGCGGTCAGCAGACCTGCTGCTGCCTCCTGGGGACACTAGCAGGAGGCGCCACGACAGCTTTCATGACCCTGCAGCACCCTCTCGAGCAGAGCGCTTCAGGATCCAGGTGGGCAGGAGCCCAGCCCGCTCCCCTGGTCCACACCTAGCCGCCAGGCGGCCTTTCCCACTGTGGCCTCTCATCCAGGCCCGCGGGTCCCTGCTGGTCCCACAGCCCTCGGTTCTCTCCTGCCTCCTTATCCAGGAGGTTCCCCAGAACTGCATTCTCGCCCTCTGCACAGACCCTCTCGGCCTTCTCTTCTGCCCACCCAGCTGAACCGCAGCCCGGATCAGACCTGTTCTTCCTGTTCCACATCTGCAGCCCTGGCTGGGCGCAGCCAAGCCCCCCACGCTCCGTGGCACCCCCTCAGCCCCTGCGCGGGCTGGCTCCGTCTCACTTTCCTAGCTCACCTTTGCAGGGTGTCACTTTCAGGGATCCCAGATTTGCTCAAGACCTGCCTGTCCTGCCCCCTGCCCTGCACAGACCCTGGCCTTGTCCCTTGTCCCCGTCTTGGCCTGTCAGACACGGGGTTGGCAGGTGTCCCTCCTGCCCCTCAGGGTGAACTTCAGCTTCACTTCTGCTTGCGTCTCTAACTCACACTTCTCATTTTTAGCCTCTGGGGACTTCCTTTACTTTTCCATAAGCACAACGGCAAATTTTAAAAGATTTTAAAAACACATCGTCCAGCAGTTCTAGTTGCTTTGTTTTGAGAGGCTCTTTGCACGTTGCTGGGAAGTCCTCAGTGTTTCCTGAATCTTTCCTTCCTCTGCATTCCTTCTACCAGCCATGAGTGAGGACCCCCCAGCACCCCACCTGGATGGCAGTGCCCCCCGGCTCCTGCCAGAAGGAACCATTTCATAACGCACCCCTAGCCCAGCGTGTCCCTGACTCTCCCACTGCGAGGACTCCCCGAGGCCCTTGAGCGGATGGCTGCGGGCCTGGCTCCTACTGCCGTGTCCTTCTGGCCCCTGCCCGCCACCTCTGAGCCCACTCAGCCCCACAGCGCCTCCCGGCTGAGCCTGGTTTTGGGTGGGGCCCTGCTTCTCTGCTCTTTCTCTGGGGCCAGCACCGCCTCCCTCCACTGCGGCATGCTTGAATTGTGTGTCTGCCCCTGCCTCCCCACCGACCACCGAACTCTCCAAGGCCACTGGCTTCTTCACCCTTCGGTGCTAGAACCAGACACTGAGCCGGTGAGCTCCTCTGGAGCAAGCAAGTGGTGACCAACCACGTGTGTTCTGCAGGAAGAGCACCACGAGGCCAAGCTGACCCTTCGGCCCCCCAGCCTGGCTGCGCCCTATGCCCCCGTGCAGAGCTGGCAACACCAGCCAGAGAAACTCATCTTTGAGTCCTGCGGTTATGAAGCCAATGTGAGTTGCTCCTGCCCTTCCAGCACAGCCAGCCTACCCGCTTCCTTCCCTTCCCGCTGGGCCCCTGCAGCCCTGAATCCCAGCAGACTCTCGGACGCCCTGCAGTCCCAGGCCCAGAGCTCGGATGCTGTTCTCTACTCTTCAGCCATTCTCAGCATCGAAGGGGTCAGGGGCTGGGGGAGGCCTCTGGTAGGCTTAGCCAGAGAAGAAGATGAGGCGCCTCTCCAGCTGGGACAGAAGGGAGTATCACTGGGAGAGGTGACCACCTGATAGTGAGACAGTCCCAAATTGGTTGGGTCACCCCTGCATGATAACGCAGGGCTGCTAAGCCTGACCCCTGCTCACTCCCACAGTATCTGGGCTCCATGCTGATCAAAGATCTGCGAGGGACAGAATCCACACAAGACGCCTGTGCCAAGATGCGGGTATGCTGGCCGAATGGGGTGGGTAGAGCATGCCGTGGGGGGCTGGCTGCACGGAAAGCAGCCCATGGAAACCCTGGCTGCAGCTGCCTGGGCCCTGCCACAGCACGTCCGAATGGGAGGGAGGCTGGGGCTGTGGAATCCCAGGAGGCCTCGCCCTGAGAAGGGGCATTCACAGGGCCACCCCTTGTTTCCTGTAGAAGTCAACTGAGCACATGAAGAAGATCCCCACCATCATCCTTTCCATCACATACAAAGGGGTCAAGTTCATTGATGCCTCCAACAAGGTGTGTTCTCATAATGACTGTTGATGGGAGAGGGAACCACCTCCCTCTCAGAGCCACAGGGCTCCAGGGCGAGCAACCCAATGCCCTTTCTCATTCCTGATCTCCCTAGAGGGTCCCTGGTCCCCTTTTATTACTTCCTGTTTCCAGCACCTCACCCAGGTGCTTCTCTCTCATCTGCCTGCGTAACCTCTTTGCTGAGTGCTGGCGCCCAGCCCTAGCCCCTGCCGAGACAACAGCTGTTACCTTCCTCGGTGGGGGCTCCACTGGCCACCTCTGCCGTGCACAGGCCTTCCGTGGTGTGAGTCCCTCAGTGAGCAAGGGATTGCCCCCCTTGCACCGCTGCCTGGGATCCCTTCCTGAGACCCTTCCCCCGCCCCACCCTGGGAGGAAGGTGGGAGGGATGGAGAGAGCACGTGGTTGGAAGTGAACATTTCACTGCCTTAGTTGCCATGGTCAGGGGTGGAGACCCCAAAGCTAAATCAGGCAAGGTTAGACACTGCCCCCACCTCCACCAAAAAAAAAGTGAGAAGAGGAAATGCGGGGTTGCACTAATGCCGTGGGCTGAGACAAAGAAAGACAGAGACGGGAAGAGGGTGGGTGGTGCCAGAGGCATGCCCAAGCGAGCGGAGCTTCCAGAACACTGCTTCTCCCAGCAGAACGTCATCGCCGAGCACGAGATCCGGAACATTTCCTGTGCGGCCCAGGACCCGGAGGACCTCTGTACCTTTGCTTACATCACCAAGGACCTGCAGACCAGCCACCACTATTGCCACGTGTTCAGCACAGTGGATGTGGTAGGTGGGGTCCCAGGGCGTGGGCACAGATGGAGAGCGTCCCAGCCCCTGGCTGGCGCTTGGCAATCATGGGGCTTGTGAACGAAGCCTCCGGGCTAGCCCCTCACACGGCGATGAGACTGAAGTGGGGAGCAGGTGGCGGGTCGGTCCAGGGTGCTAGTGACGGGTTCTAGCATTTATTGATTGATTGATTGATTGAGGTGAGGTCTCGCTATGTTGCCCAGGCTGACCTTAAACTCCTGGGCTCAGTCAATCCTCCTGCCTCAGCCTCCCAAGTTGCTGGGACTGCAGGTGCGTGCCACCACGCCCAGCTTTCCAGCTTTTAGTTGAGGGTTTCTTAGGTAAGGCAAGGCCTTTGTCTCCCATGGCTTTCTGATTGTCAACCCACTGCGCCAGTTCCCCAAACCTTCAGCCAAGTGTCCCTGAAATGCCCTCTTAGGGGCAGCAGGGCCTCCCTGGCAGGAGGTTTTCTTCCCTCAGATTTCTGCCTAAGCTAGACCCTGGGCGCCCCCAGGCTGAGGCAAGTTCATGCTCACTCAGCCGCGCAGGGATTCCCTCTGCCGGGATAAGGCGCAGCGGTGGCCCTAGGCCGTCTCCTCACCCCACAAGGAAGCCAGTGTGTCTAGGTCCCTGCTGCCCTCAGGGAGAATAGCTGTTTCCAGATCTCTGTGGCTCCTGGAACAGCTCTGGGCATTGCCCGCACCCCCAGCACCTTACACGGCCCAGACCCCACTCGCTCGGGCAGCAGGGCTGGGAGCCCGGGCTCTGGTGTCAGACGTTCCTGGCTCTGCCACTTGCTGGCTGTGTGGTCTTGAAATGTCACTGCTGCCTGTTTCCTCCTCTGTACAAAGGGGAACATGGTATGACCACCCTCGTGGGGCTGTCGTGAAGATTAAACAAGGGGTCCACACAGCTCTCGGGGCTCGAGGCGTTCACGTGCCCCACACGGTCAGTGCTGCTGTGACATGTGCACGTGCCTCCTACACACCTGCTAGGTTAAACCACATGGCGAAGACCCCAGGTTTATGGAGAAATGGGGTTAGGGACACAACACTGACAAACTTTGTCAGTGACTCATTAAAAATAAAAGATAGGAACTTAATAATAAAAGCAGTAGCACCATTTTATTCACAAAATGGTTAAGAAATACCTAAATGCTGCAGTAAGCACAGCACGCTGTCGTGAAAAGCCCTACCCTCCCGCCAGCCCACCGCTCCAGCCCGTGTGTGAGGAGAGACGAGCAAGGACCTAGACAGGGAGAAGGGACAGAGAACAGGAGGAGCATGAGCAAGGGGACCACAGGAGGGACAGACGCGAGGCCGGGTGGCGTGGGCAGTGGCAGCCTGCGCAGAGCCGCGGCGCCAGGTGCGGGTGGGGTATGCTGTCACGGGGCTCGTTCAGCTGGTAGCAACGTCTGCGTCTACCTAGTGTTTTGTCAGACGACATCGTGAAAGGAGACCAAATGTGTTACGCTCGAATTGATCCCCACTGTACCAAGTGTGTTGGAACAGGTTTGTGCTTTCAGAACAGGCATTCTGGTTTCCTGCCGGGATGTCGTCTGTGCCAGTGCTCAGGGCGGGTGTGAGGACAGGAGGGAAGGGGTGCAGCTGTTCCTGCGCCTCATGTGCTCACGTGCTGGTCTGTTCCTCCCAGAATCTGACGTACGAGATCATCCTGACGCTGGGACAGGCATTTGAGGTGGCCTATCAGTTGGCCCTGCAGGCCCAGAAGTCCAGGCCGATGGGGGCATCTGCAGTTGAGATGATTGAAACAAAATCTTCCAAACCGGTGCCTAAGCCTCGGGTCGGCATGAGGAAATCCGCAGTACGTGTGTCCTAGTCACCAGCATCCCCGCCTCCCTGCCCTGGGATTGGACGGCTTGGGGTGGGAACCTCCAAGACAAGAGGGTCCTCCCTCTCTTTCAGACAGCCGGCCCCTGGGGCAAGACCTCCTAACTAGCTCCCCCACGCGGCCCGGCCCGGGCGCAGGGCCTCTGCTTCCAGAGCGCCCCTTCCTGTCCCTCGTCCCTCCTTGAGGGTTGTAGAGAGCGGCCGCAGGCAGCCCAGTAACCGTGTTGTCCCTGTGTCTGTGTCTGCTTTGCTTCGCGCCCCAGGTGCCGCTGCCCTCTGATAGTCGCTGTTGTCACTGTCACACCTGCACCACCCACCGTCCTTCCTACCTACCGCTGCCGTCTCTTAGTCCTGGAGTCAAGGTCTTTACGCCTCCTGCTGTCTTGTGTGTCAGTCTCCCTAAAGTGACCGTGAGCTTCGTAGACTCTGGTGGCCACTCCCTCTGCCTGCGTGACATTCTTTTCTCCTCTCCTGAGATGCTCTCTGCCCCTCGTCGTGTGTGCTTTAGCCCTGTCTTTCTGTCGTGTGTCCTCTCTGCAGAGGTGTGGGGTGACTGTGGTCTTGCCTCAGGGCGAGCTCTCAGGCCCCACCAGAGGGACCCGGGGCTTGGAGTTTCTAAGCCTCAAATCCCCTTCCTGCCCACCACGAACACTGTGGGGCTTAGAGCAGGAGGCTCAGGTAGGGCAAGTTTCCTTTAACTGAGCAGTCCTGAGAAACCCCTGGGTGGCCTCCCCAAGAAGCTCCGGGGGTGACACTCCCCACCCCTCGGGCCTGCTCTTTGGCCGAGGAGGAATGAGCACACGCCCCAGCGCCGCCTGGGATGGAGGGGCATGCCAGTCCCGCTTGCCTCCTGGCCCTGCCGCAGAGCGCCCCCTGACTCTCCGTTTCCTGTTTGGCAGCTGGAACCGCCTGATACGGACCAAGATGCCCAGTCCCACGCCAGTGTCTCCTGGGTTGTGGACCCAAAACCAGACTCTAAGCGGAGCCTCAGCACCAAGTATGAGACCACTATCTTCTAAAACAACCCACTCCCTGTCTCCACTAGTCTCACTGTGCCTTTGTCACCCCGTCCTTCTGCTGTCCTCAACTCTCTCCTTCCAGCTGCTGGCGCCAGGGCCACCTCCACTGGGACCCGCTCTGCTCCTGGCAGCCGCTCTAGACGCTGCACTCGTAGCTCTCGTACCTAACTCCACTGAACACTGTGAATTCTCCCCCTTGAGCGGAGGACAGCTTGGGGGGGTGAGTTGCCTTTGAGGTGGGCACCAAGAGGGCTAGGGCTCAGTGGCACCCAGGAAGCCCCCGCAGCAGGCACTGTGAATCCTGAGAGTAGGGAAGTCTTCAAGCAGAGTCCAAACGGCACCACTGATCCTCCCTCTGAGTGGGCCGGGCTCTGCGGCCCTCCTCCTGTCTGCTGTACTCGGCCACGGCGGGGTGCCGCTGCCCAGAGCCGCCTGTCTGTTTCACCTTTCCTGACACAACCAACCACTGTGACCACCCAGTGCCAGAACCCCCCAGCGCTGTGCTCACGGCTGGCCTGCAGCCCCGCCCTGCCCTCCTCTGCTGCTGTCTGGTGCTGGCCTCGCTCTCCTGGTCAGGCCTTGTGAGACCCTGAGCTCAGTGATGTGGCCTGACCAGGGACAGACTGCTTTCTGTGAGGGCCCAAGGTTCGCGCCAGGCCCTTGGGCACATGCTGACACCAAAGTGGGGCTCTGAGCATCTGGACACCCACAGGCTGGCTCCACTCGGCAGCTTTCTCAGTCCCAATGGGCCTTCCATTCCAAGGAATGGGGTGGCACACATGTGGCTGGTCCCTCGTGTCTTCGCTGTTGAGTCACAAAGTCTGGAAGCCCTGGGCCTGGCTCTGGAGTCTGGCTCGCCAAGGAGGAAGGCCTTGCCCCGTGTGCACGATGCTCCTTCTTCCCTCAGAACAGCTGCCTGAGGACAGGGACCAGCACCAAGCAACCTCACTGTTCTCCAGGAGCTGCTCCTTCTCCACGGTGTGGGGTCAGAGATAGTCAGCCCTTCCCTGCTCGGCCTGCCTCGGCCTCCCGCCTGCTCCGAGGGGAGAGGCTGTGCCGTCCGTCCCAGCCCGAAGTTTAGCAGCTGGGAGGGTGGAGCTGAGGCGCTGGAGAAGCCCCACGTTCTCTCTCTCGCACGGGCAAGTCAGTTTAGATGCAGGAGGCAGGAAGGAAGCACTCCCCGTGGGAAGCAGTGCACGGGTAGCATAGTCCAGTGGGAAAGCCAGAAGTTACAGCGATTATTTTGGAGCTGAAACCCAAGTTGATAAACCTGGGCGGGGCCTGCCTGCCTGTCCTTGTGCCTTCCTGCGCAGACTCGCTGGGCCAGAGGCGGCAGTGGGCGGTGGGCTGCGGGTGCTCAGAGCAGGCTGTGGGTCCTCAAGGGAGGCTGTGAGCACCTTCTGTCCTGCTCTGTTTCCTTTCCGTTTCCTGCACTTCATGCAGGCCCTTCGGTTAACCCTTTCCTCCCCCGTTGTTTGCTTCTGCCAAGCTGAGCCATGAGGAGCCACCCTGTGCTGCGGAAACATAGCCGTGGGGAGCACAGGCTCCCACCGCCGCTGCTGCCGTCTCACCTGCAGCTGAGAAGACCCAGGCCCCACCGCTGCCGGTAGGACCTCCTTTCAGCCGCGCGGCCTGGGCCTGCCTCCACCAGGTCTTGCGGAGTGGGCCCTGCCCTGGCTGCAGAGAAGCACTCCAGGCCTCTGGCAGAGGAGACTGGAACTCCAAAGGGTCGAGAAGTGACTTATGCAGAACATTTTTTTTTAATAGAAAAAATCTTTTTATAAAATGAACTTTTACACTTGGCTCAAACCTCTAGGTCAAACTGCCAGTCTTTAGACAAGTGGCCATAGCGTTAGGGGACAGGGGAACTGAGATTGGTTAAAAGGCCAGTCTGTGCAGCCCCCTGTTCTCAGGATGGGACCTTGGCGTGGCCCAGCAGGGCTGAAGAGAAGGCACGGCCTGCGGGTGAGTTGAGAGGAGCAGGCTCAGGGGCCGAATCGAGTAGGCTAGTGAGAGTCTGCTTTCCAAATTCAGCCAAGTTAGTTAATGTTCTTTATGAACTGCCTAACTTCCTGTCCCTGTGCAGAGCTGGACAAGCTCCTCAGTTAAGAACACAGCCTTGGAGGCACCTGGGCAAAAGCAAAGGCTTCCAGTCCATTCCTGGGGTTCCAAATGTGAAGGTCCCGTGGCCAAATGTGGATGAGGGGCAGTTTCTGGTGCCATGACATCCAGCGCTGGGAGCTGCAGGTCTCCATCCGGTGGTGGTCAGAGCACTGCCCTGGGCGGCTGGCCCACACCTCTCTGGTGACATACTGCCTGAGTTGCACCAGAGAGAAAAAGCAGCTTTGTTTTGGGCATTAATGGGTAGGTCAGCTAAGATTGCTACTTGCCAGTTTGTGATTTGTCTAATCAAGTCAGTGTGATTAGGGCTCGTTTTGATTCTCTGAATTATTGGTTTGATATTATATTCTCAGCTGCTAGGCTAATCCCTGGGTAGGTGTAGAAAAGGTGACAGTCCATTGATTCTACCCCAGTGTGGCCTTCAGGGATGCTAGCATCCTAGGGCACCACTGCTTGAAGCTTCCTGCTGCCTTGCTTTGCTTTTAAAAGTAATGGGTTGTGTTCTTCCTCCTGGACCATAGTAGAAAGGAAGGCGCTAATTCCTGTGGTGTTGAGAGGCAAAGCCAGGTCGGCTGTGTGTCTGGTACCTCCCAGGGCAGGGAGCAGAGAGGAGCATCTCCTCCCATGGGTACTTGAGCAGGCCTCCTGCTTCACTGGCACAGTTCATTCTGGTCTCAGGGTGAATATTCCAGGCTTCAGCAACACTGCTCTTTCCTAGCAAAGGTTATGACTTTAAATTCTTTGTTGGTGTGTGTGCAGAGAGAGTATTCTTGGGCACATTCACAACCCCCATGGTCGGCCAGAAATCAAAAGCTGGGTGGTTTCTTGCAGCTGACTTCGGCTGGGCCTGCGGGTTTCCTGTCTGCCAAGCGTCCAGCACGGCAGGGCCGGGATGCAGCGCTGCCCTGCAGTGGGGCAGGTCGTCCTCCGCTTCTTGGTACTAAACTAGGACCTCAGCCCCTTCCACTTCCTGCTTCTTTCAGGGCCTATGAGGATTCCCATGAGCTAACACTGTACAGTATTCAGCCCCTGCTTGCTTCCAGAAGCTGACCAGGACCTAGAGCTCTAGAGTAGATGGTGCTGCTTCTGCGCTGCACCTGTGCAGGTGCCCTTTTTCCTCCTAAGGAGGCCAAGCCACGTGGAAGCCGGCCTCTGTTGGAGGACGGCAGGTCCAAAAACAAAGCTGTACAGACACTACGATAAGTTGCTCAAGCTGTCTTTTGTTTTTAGATCATACATAGGTGTTTCTTCCCCTTGAAGCTGCTATATCTTCTTTATTTATTCAGGGTGTTTTCATTTTGGCAAGCCTTGGCTAGTCTGCTCTGGCTCTGGGTTTTAAGATTGGTTTATTTCTGAATATTTAAGAAGGAAAGTGACTGAATCTTTCTTTTCTACTCCTCCTCTGGGGCAGGTACTTTCCCTTCCCTAGAAAAGTTATTGTAACTTTAAGGACAGGCTTCAAGTGGAAAAGCCCCTAATTTTGCACTTCTCTAAGTGCAGGTCATGCAGTGTGGCAAACCCTGTCGCTGCGTTTCTGAACTGTGAAGGAGCCCGTTTAGGTGGGAAGCTTAAAATGGGTCCGTGCCCATCCCTGGCCACAGGCTCCTTGCTGGCCTCTCCTCTTCTGCTTGGCAGCTGCTCTGTGCGGCGGGACTGTCCCCCGACAGGCTCTGCATTTGCAATGCTCCGCATCCCTCTGGGGCCACCAGCCTTACCTACCGGGGGAGTTCCTTCAGAAGCCTTGGGTTTGAGCAGGCAGCAAGCATGGTTGCAGCTGTCATCGGGACATTAGAAAACCAGTCTGAACTTGGTCTGTTTGGAGATGCCCAGGCCTGTAGAATGCAGTTCACAAAAGTATTGTTGCTAATGGTGTGGCAATGGGACTGAATTGTAATAAAAATGTTATTTAATCTTTGTCTCTGTATTTTGATACTTGAATGACTTCTTTTGTTTTACTGTACATATAATTGTTAATCTGTCTGATTTTGTCTGAATTATAAACATCTGAAGGTACCAAACATAACCAATCTGTGCAACAACATAGACTGACCTCACTACACAAGAGAGAGTGTAAATATTCCTGGGCTTCCAGCTTTGGTTTTGTTATTTTCATAACTGTACAACTTAGAACAGACCGAATTAATAAATGAGAAACAACATAAAACCAGCCTTATTTTTTGGAGTCTTTGAATTGGAAAGTGTTGACAGTGTTCTGGCAGAAGCTTGGGCACAGGCTAGTTCTGGGTTGGTAATAAGTGTCCTGCTCTGCTCGGCTGAGATGACAGTCTGGGAATGCTGCTCCCTCTTGCCCCTGCAACGGTTACAGTTAACCCTGTTCAGGTGCAAGGGCCGGTTGTTCGCCTTCCTCTCCTTGGGGACATCTTGTTGTGAATCTTAAGCAAGAGCCACATTCGCATTGTTGTTACATGTACATCTCTGCCTCCTGGTCTGGATGTGTCAGTCCACAGACATTTATTGGACATCTGTGTACTAGGCAGCATGGGGCATCGAAAGCTGTGAGAGAAAGTTGTGTCCTTGCAGGAACTTAGTTTGATTGTGGAGGTTAAGTTCTGGACATACAACTAGCTACCAGCCTGAAGCCGCACTAAAGCCACACCGTGGCAGGGATGAAGAGGGCAAGGTGTTCCCACAGGACCAGGGGCAGGGAAAAGAGGGAGGGTGGTACTGAGCTGTGCTTTAAAGGGGAGAATTTGGAAAGGCACACATGGTAACATGGTGCCCCTTCATCGGTGGAGCACCTGTGTTCCAAACTTTGCCAGAAGCTTTACAAGCGGTGTCTCATTAGCCCCACACCTTTCTGGGCAGGTGTTATCTCTATTCACAGAGAAGGGCCCTGGGCTGCTTCAACCCCACCTGCCTGGCAGTGAACACTCCTAATTCATGAGTTTCTGTGAAATCTTCCACATTTTAAAGGGGCTTTAAAAAAGAAAATCATTGATCTAGTCCAATACTCAGTTTACTGGTGAAGAAAACAAGGCCCAGACAAGGAAAATGATTTTCTGTTAAGCCAGCCAGCTAATGGCAGAGGACAAAAACCCAGCTTGTTACTCCCAATTAGGGCTTTGTAGGCCACACGACATTCAAACTGGGAAAGCAGACTGAAGCCCAGTCGTGGAGGGCCTCACATTCCAGACAAGCGGGTCCAGCATCTTCATGCCCCTTTGCTCCCTGGCTATGGCATGCTTTCCTAGGCAGTGGTAGCCAGAAGAGAAAGGTTTGGTTATAACTAGTGTCATTGCTCTGCTACAACAGGATATATTGCCACTATCATAATCCCCTTTGGCGCCACCTGACACATGAACCTCTTACTCTGCTCAACCCCAAGAATGTAGTGCTGATGGCACCCTGGGGGCTGACAGATGGGGAGGCACAGACCAGCTCACGCTGGGCACTCGGGCTTACTGTTCTGAGCCGCAGGCAGCACTACCCCAGGCCGCATGGAACCAGAGCTAAAGGGAAGGGAGAATGGAAAGACTGGCAGGAGGCGTGGATGGGACGCACTCAACAGCACTGCATCTGTCCACGTGGCTCTATCCCCTTAACCATTCTCCGTTGCCCTCCAACTCTCTTTAGATATTGGGTCTACACGCTGGTGGTCTCAGGACCTGGAGGCAAGGATCACTGCGTCTTAGAGTGGAGTGTGAGGTCCGCCTCCCAGCCCTCTCCATTTGCTCCTCTCTCTATCCCTTCAGGGGTTTGTTTCTGTCACACTCACCCACATCTTTTCAGCCCCATCCCCACCCCTGCTGCCTTCACAGATGCTCTGGTCCAGGCTCCCGGGTAGCTGGGCCATCACTATTGCAGGTCAAGACAGATCACCCTCAGCAGTGACCAGGCTAGGGTGAGGAGGAAGAACTTTGCACACTGGAGCACTTTCCAAGGCAGCACGAAACACCCTCTAGTTAGCCATGGCCACTCCTGGCTTCCTAAACCTAAAAGGTATCCAGGTCCCACCCAAGTCCCACAGACAGGGACAGGCAGACATGCAGTGTGACATGCACTTCAAACTGTAGCTCACACAGCACCAGTTACATCGACACCCAAGGAAAGCAGAGATTTGAACTATTCCTTGCTCTGTGTAGTCTCTAGGACCCTGTAACCTCTTTCTTCAGGACTCGGCTGTTAGGAACACTATTATAAACCAAATAAAAAGAATTTCCCAATACCATAAAATATTACCCACTAAATGGAGCTGGGAAAACTGGGTAGCCAAGGGGTGAGAAGATGCAAGGAGATTCCTATTCTTACTTTATGCCAAAATAAAGTCCATATGGCTCACATATTTAAATGTAAAAAAGAAACCTCAAGGCTACTCAAAACTAGAAGAAAAGGGGAGACATAAATGTGGTATGAGAAAGGGCTTTCAAAACATATTATAAAACTCTGAGTCCATTTTTCTTTTTTTGAGACAATTTCATTCTGTCACTCAGGCTAGAGCGCAGTAGCACTCCTGGGCTCAAGCGATCCTCCTGCCTCAGCCTCCTGAGTAGCTGGGACTACAGGTACACACCACCACACCCAGCTAATTTTTTCTCTTTTTTATAGAAACAGCTTTAGCTCAGGCTGGTCTCAAACTCCTGGCCTCGAGCAATCCTCCTGCCTTGGCTTCCCAAAGTGCTAGGATTGCAGGCATGAGCCACCGTGCCTGGCCTGAATAGACTTTTTTTGAAAAAGATATATATGACAAATCAAACATTTCTGCATAGCAAAATGCACCATTAAGAAAAGGAAACAAGAAATAGTAAGATCATGTAACAAGGACAACTTGATAATAGCTATCAAAAGTAACTAGAACTTCTACAACCAGGAATATCAAGTAGATGGATTTTTCCCAGTAAGTACTAAGACTGCCCCTACTGGAAACACCAGTGGGCACAGAGCCCAAACAAAAACCTACTTTCTCAAGTCAAAGGACTAGGAAAGGGACAACCTAGCAAGACAGAAACTTTGGGACAATAACTGCTCTACTCTAGCCAAACAGCACAGAAAATACGCGGCCCACCCATGCCAGCAGGGCCCCGTGTGGAACCTCCCCGGGCTGCAGTGCGGAGCCCAGCACTTCCCACGGCGATGGTGCCAGAGGCGGCCTAGCGGAGAGTCCAGTGTTCACCATCACCCAGTGGTAATGAGGCTGCTCCCAGCTGGGAGCCAGTGGGAATCACGGAGGGCAGCTGATACTCCCCACTCCACCCCCCACCCCTGCAACCAGCAGTAATAAGAAGCCTCCCACTTCAGGTGTCAGTGGAAGCCAGGTGAGGAAGCTCGACTTTGACCCCCATCTGGTAATAATGAGGTGATATTTCCCCCTCCATTGCTGGAGCAGTGTCAAAATCAGCTAAAACAGAAAGTATCAATAAGATCGAGTCTCAGAACATAAAACAAAAATGTCCAGGTTTCCATAGAAAATCATTCATCATACCAAGAACCAGAAAAATCTCGACCTAAAATTTAAAAGGCAATCAACAGACATCAATACCGAGATGACAAAGGTGTTAGAATTATCTGACAAAAATTTTAAAGCAGCCATGATAAAAGTGTTTCAACAAACAATTATGAACACATTTGAAGCACATGAAAAAACAAAGTCTGAGCATAGAAAAGATATTAAGAATCTAATGAAAATTTTAGAACTGAAAAATACAATAACCAAAACAAAAACCTCGGTAGATGGGCTCAAGTAGAGTATAAGAGAAAAAGAAAGAATGTACAAACAGGAAAATAGAATAGAAATTACCCAGCCTGAAAAACAGAAAATAGACTGAAAAGAATGAACAGAGTCTCAGGGACCTATGGGACTATAACACAAGATCTAGCATTTGTGTCAACAAAGTCCGAAGAGAGGAAGGGAAAGAGTAGGGCTAACAAAATACTCAAATAAATAATGCCTGAAAACTTAACAAAATTTTGCATCAAACAATCCTAAAGATTCAATAAGCTGAGCAAACCCCAAACCAGATGAACCCTGTGAAATTTATCAGATTTAAAACAGTCACTTGTGTTTTAAAGAAGAAGAAAGAAAAAACATGACAAATAGAGACAGGGAAGGCTATGAAGAGAGGGTTCTCACGCATATAAATGCCTGATAATAAAAACTATTACAAAAGACTGCAAAACCACAACCTTGCACAGAGGCCATTGCAACCTTACATAAAAAAATACTTTTGTGAGGACATCTGTTCAGCAACTGATTGTCCAACCCCAGACTGGCACCACCCTTGTTACTGAGCCTTGTAGCCAAGGGTGATTATTTCAAAACAATATGTAATCCTCATTTTTCCTTTAAAAACTTTTGTCTCCCATTACCTCCTTGAATACACATAGTTTACTATGGCACACATATTCCCATCGCAGTGCCCTATTCCTGAATATGTATCATCTTCTTTTAGACAGCCTCTGTTGTTTAGGTTGACATACGTGGTGTCAGAAGTGGGACTGAGGGGAGCTCACTTGGGAAGAATCAGTGGCCACTGGAATCAAGTGCAGGACTGACTGGGCCCTTTGTGCTCTCCATTTCTGTGAGTCACCTTCTCTGCCCTGGTGAGTATGCTCTAGGATTCTTAGACTCCCTCCCTTTATTGAGTTGTGTTTTACTTTATTTGAGATTTATTTCAGTTATAAGTCTGCCTTTAATAAAGGACTTTCCATCTCTCCTGGATGGTAAAAGACTGTCTTTGCTGGCAAGTCCTATCTGGTATAAGGACCAATGTCCTGGTTTCTACAGAATTTACATTGTGTCTCTGAAGCATGTCTTTTCTGGTGAATTTACTTTCAGTTCTTTCTGCATACCTAATTTGATATTTTGTTTAATCTGCATGCTGGTGTTAAAATTATTGTGAGCACTCTGATTTTGGTTCCATTTTGGTTTGGTTATGTGCATGTGTAAATTACTTGGCTCTTTTCCCTTGCTTGTTTCTGGAAATCTTCCAAGAGCAAAATCATTCTAAATGGTGAGCACTACTGGACAGCTAATTAAAAGCCACTAGGGAGGTCACCAAGGTCTAAAACACTGGTCCAAACTCTTGACATTCTCTGACAAGATTTATAGGATTTTCTTTGCTCTCAAGAAATTAACAAGAAATGGAATGGGATTCTCAAACATTAAGGCATGCCAGGTTTTCTGGGACTCCAGCCAACTACATAATATCACCCATT